TCTTTTCAAGCCTCGACGAAGCAGGTAAAATTCAATTGTCATCATTTTTTTTTTCAGAATTCCAAGTTGAACAATTGAACTTCATCGTGTTAGATCTTGCAATTATCTTGATTGTTGATGCTTAAAACTTGATTCTGATCACGTTTTACATTGTTTGATTGCATTTCTGATTGAAAAACTTGCGTAAACCGAGTCGGCCACCATTAAACCTTCTCGCCAGAATTCGGAGGAACTTCGTTTTGAGTGATAGAAATGGCTAGGGCGCTAGATTTATTGATCTGAATGTTAAAATTAGTTGTTAAAACTATTTCGAGTTAGGTGTTTTAGATTAGTTTTTTGCTGGCCGGCGATGGTCCAACGACGAACTAAGGAGGCTAGATAGTTGGAGGATGATGTGGACTCAACATTATACCAATTGGAATGGTTAAAATCCCGCCGGAAAGTCGTTGGAGGTGACCTTGAACCGACGGCCTCAAGAACATTTGAACCAGAATCATGCACACCACATGTTTGATCAAATGCCCCAATGAAGAAGGTATTAACGACGCCGTTTTGGCGTCGTGCTCGTCGGTGAAGACGACCAACAACCGGCCCCCGGCAAGGCCTAATTCGGCTAAATTGAATTGGGTTGAACCGGGCCGATCCGGTTCACTAATCCAGCGGGAAAATTCAAAAAATATTAAAAAATAAAAAATCAATAAAAAATTAGAAAATTCATAAAAAAAAATAAAAAAATCAGAAAAATCTAAAAAAATTAAAAATTTTCGGAAAAATCATAAAAATTTCAAAAAATTTAAAAAATTTCAGAAAAAATCAAATTTTTTTTAGAAAATTCATAAAAATTCAGAAAATTTAGAAAACACAAATAAAAAATGTAAAAACAATTTAGAAAATCTAAAAAAATTCCAAAATTCATAAAAATTTTCAAAAAAATCATAAAAATCAATTCTTGGTTAATGAAATTTTCAAAAATTCAATTTCAGAAAAAAAAAATTCAAAAATTTTAAAAATTTATAGAATGGTCCAAATTCACAAGAGTGGAGGGGATGTTGGTGAGGTCAATGTCATCGCCATTGGTCCATTACGAGCGTTCTCACCAAATTTCCCCCTCTCAAAAGAAATGGAACAGTGACAGTGACAAACCCCCCGTACACGCGGCACCCTCTCTCTCTCGCTCGGTCTTGGTCTTGGGGGATGAGAGGAATTGGCTCTGACAAACCCCCAAATTTCTTCTCCGCTTCCGCTCCCGCTTCTGCTTCATCGTCCTCCACCTTCTTGCAAGAAGGATCGTCGTCGCAGTCGCTGCCTTCCTTGGGGATCTCCAGCGCCCTCTTCTCCTGCTCCTCCTGCTCCTCCACCGCCACCCCGTTCAGCTCGCACTCCTCCCTCATCCCTCCTCCGTACTTCTCGTTCCTCTCCGCCCTCGCCTTCAGCGCCTCCAGCAGCTCCCCCACCGCCCTCTCCTTGTTCCTCCGGTTCTTGATCAGCAGCACCTCGCTCATGTCCGCCGGCGTCATCTTGGCCTTCTCCACCGCCTCCCGGAGCTCGGCCCCCGCCGCCGCCGCCTCCCCGCCGAGGAGGTCCTCGGCCTCGCCGCCGCCCAGGTAGCTCCGGGGCAGGATCTTGAGCGCCGGGTACGAGCAGTAGCTCATGTAGATGTGCATGTCCATCCGGCCGCTCCGGAGCAATGCCGGGTCGAGCTTCTCGGTGTGGTTGGTGGTGAACACGAAGATCTTTCGCACCCGCAGCACGACCACAGGCCGTCGGTGAAGTTGAGCAGGCCGTGAGGGTGATTGTGTTGTTGTTCCCGTCCTCGCTGCCGCCGCCGCGCACGGCGTCGGGGGCACCCGGGTCGTAGTAGCCCCGGGATGCGGAGGCGTGGGGCGCCTTGGACCTGTTCGACAGATTGACTGAGCAGTCGATGTCCTCGGTGACGATGATGGACTTGGAGCTGGTCTTCATGAGGAGCTTCCGGAGCTCGGAGTTGGAGTGCACCTCCGTCAGCTCGAGGTCGTAGATGTCATAGCCGAGAAAATTGGCCATCGCGGCGATCATGCTCGATTTCCCGGTCCCGGGCGGGCCGTAGAGCAGGTATCCCCGCTTCCAGGCCCGGCCCGTCCGCTGGTAGAAGGCCTGCCCGGCCGCGAAGTCGCGGAGGTCCTCCATGATTTGCCTCTTCCTTTCTGGGTCCATGGCCAGCGTGTCGAAGGTGCTCGGGTGCTTGAACGGCACCGATTCCCAAGGGTGGCAACGAGAATCGAGCGACCCGCCGCGCGAATTAGTGTAAAGGAGACGTTCTTGGTTCTTGCGGCGGATGTCGTTGGCCTTATCCATGATGTCGTCGAGGTAGGAGACGAGGATGAGGTCCTTGTCGCGCTTCCGGATCCGGAGCGTGAAGCCGCGCTTCTCGTCGGGGAGGGGACGCCACGAGAAGTTCTGGGACTGGTGCTGCGTCACCACGTGCTCCCGCTGGACGACGACGCCGTCAAAGACATCGTTGATGCAGTCGTTGTTGGAGAGGCGGCTGCCGAAGGTGGTGGCGCTGGAGTTGACAGCCCGGGTGAGGGAGAGGCGGCTACCGGAGGCGGAGACGAAGGAGCTGAGGTAGAGCTGGACGGCGTTGTAGAGCTCGTTGGTCACGTGTTGACGCCGTCGATCTCGGTGATGTCGTAGTAGCAGTAGGAGGAGAAGCAGTTGAGGGCCCCGGTTCAGGAACTTGAGGAGGCGAACCGGAGCTCCGGCGGGAACACCATCTGCAGGAGGCTCTGGCAGAAGGCCAGGACACCCAGCAGGGAGGCCAGGGATGTCCAGAACTCCTTCATTTCCGTCTCTCTGGGCGTGGAAGAAGGAGATATGAAGCCGGGTGTGGGGAGAGAAGGGTGAGGGAGAATGGGTTTCTATGGGGAAGTGAGTTTTTTTTTTCTGAGGAAGGGGCGAAGGGGTCTTGGATTATTTATAGGGGAGGGGGGTGCTGTGGGTTCTGATGTTTCAATGAAGGGCGTGTAGAAACTGGGGAGTTTGTGGAGAGAAAGAGAGAATAAAGCAAAAAAGTGTCAAGAAAGCTATAGAGAGAGAGAGAGAGAGAGAGAGAGAGAGAGAGATTGGTTTTGGGTTTTGGGTTTTGGGGATGAGAGGGCATTGGCTGACTGCCTAATATAAAGGAGAACAGCTGGTGAAGAAAACAACAAGGAAGGGAAAAGGGCATGTAGAAACTGGGGAGTTTGTGGAGAGAAAGAAGAGAATAAAGCAAAAACGCGTCAAGAAAGCTAGACAGAGAAAGAGAGGAGGCAGAGAGAGGGAGAGAGAGATTGGCTTTGGGGTTTTGGTTGGTAGGAGTAGGAGAGGGATTGACCCGGGCTAATGTAATTTTTCCTCTTAAGTACAAGACAGAACAGTAGGTGAAGAAAGCAACAAGGAAAGGAAAAGGGTTTTTGGAGTTTTGAGATTTGAGAGAGAGATTCGGGGACCGATTGGTATTGGGTTTTGGGGTCGAACTTTATCCCCGTATTCTATTGTGGGAAGCTCTTTGGCAGGTGACGTTGCTGTCTGACCGGGGGGTGCAAAGCTTGTGCACATCACAGAAAAAGCGTAATAAATCTTCGAGAAAATCCGGTAATTTCTCCAATTCGGTTGCTTCCCCTGTTGGCACACCGTCATGTATGATCTTTACATCTGCTGGTCGCTATTGAATTCCAATCGAGCCCTTCACCCCTTCTGCAATTAATCTAATCTTCAATCGCTTATGGCGCTTCCCTCTGCCAGGCTCGTCCTCGGGAACTTTACTCCTTGGATTGCACACCCTTTGAACTGGGAGGGATTTTTAATCTGGTACTTTATTATCGTAAATTTTGATTAATTTTTAAATTTTTTTTTTTTAGGGGGGGTTACAGTTGTCTAGATTACGGGTTTACAGGTCTAGATTACAAAGGTTCAGGAGCTTGACCCCTCCTTCAATTCCATCGAGAAGGGGAGAGGTTGGTTACGATGAGGGTGTGCGTGCAGGGATGTTCCGGTCCGTCTTAGAATGTCTGAATTCTGAAACGTCTGCGACATATCTCATTTAATTTTACTGCGTTTTTTCATTAATTAATTGTTTCTTCCCTCTTATTCTCTCTCTTTTGGATCATATAATTTACTGCATTTTATTAATAGTTTCTCTTTTTTCCTCTTTTAAGCTCGGCCCCTAACAAAATGGTTTTTTTAAAGAGGGTTGGGTATTTATTTTGCTGATTATTCTAATAATTCGTCACAACCACTGCTGTCCTGATCTTCACGTTGCTGCAGCCCCCAATCGCGCAGACGTCGCGCGAAGTTCAGTTCCCATGAGCTTAATAGAGTGCAAAGAATTATAAGCATCTCGTCTAAAATTTGAGCTTAAAATTTGAATAACATTTTAGGTTTGGACATTGAACCGTGGGGCGAAGATGGACCGGGGCTTTTCCCTAATGAAATTGAACAACAAGTTGATACTCTTGAGGAGCCGAACTTGGGACTTCAAACCCACGCGGTGGCAATCCAAAAGCAAAGGAAGTATGAAATTAGGAATGCATATTAGCAAGAAGGTCAAGAGGATGCTTATAATGGTGGAATGAACATACAGGATTTCCTATCAAAACCTAAAATTTTATTCAAATTTTAAATAAAAAGTGATCTGCAAATCTACGTGTTAACATTTGAATAGTATGAAAATTGCAGGATTTTCAGATTAAAAAAATTAAAAACAAGCCGCCAACCCCCGTAGAGCTAATCCCACAAAGCTGGCTCTCACCCGCTGCTTCCCAGTCTAAATCCACCAAGCCCTGTCGATCAATACCCAAGGTAGCCTAAAATTCATGCCTACTACTGTTTCTTCTATTCATGACATAAAACTTGATCAACAAGTTAGCATTTGTTTCATGGAACATAAGTATGTACTAGCCTTGCTTGTGCTGTCAAAGTCTATAGGGTTAGTGTTTTGACAATTTTTTCTTTGGTTTGTCGATTGATAGACCTGCCAGAGGATGCTTGAAGCCCCTTATATATTGGACGATTATTACTTGAACTTGCTGGACTGGGGTGCCAACAATATTGTAGCAATTGCTCTTTCGGAGTCAGTGTACTTGTGGAATGCCTCCAATGGCTCTGCTACAGAACTGGTGACCTTCAATGACGAGGAGGGTCCTGTCACGAGCATGAGCTGGGCTCTTGATGGTCAGAATATTGCCATTGGCTTACAAAATTCTCATGTCCAGCTATGGGATTTTGTTGCTCAAAGACAGGTAAGTTGGTTGCTTCTTGTTTTGATAGCATTAGTGTTTCGTCTGTGGCTGACGGGATCTTATTCAGGCTGCGTTAATTGCTTTTTATTTTCGTTTCCTCTCATGCAGCTGAGAACTTCTAGAGGAGGCCATCGACTCCGAGTTGGTTCCTTGGCCTGGAATAGTCACATACTCACGACAGGAGGCATGGACTGTAATATCACCAACAATGATGTAAGAATCAGATCGCACATAGTTGGAACCTACAGGGGCGTCGCCAAGAAGTTTGCGTGCTGAAGTGGTCGCCCTCGGGAAAACAGCTCGCTAGCGGAGGAAGGGATAATCTCCTCTACTTGTGGGATAGGTCCAGATCCTCTTTGAATTTAGGCACTCAGTGGCTTCACAGGATCGAAGACCACACAGCTGCTGTGAAAGCCCTTGCTTGGTGCCTGTTTCAGAGCAACCTACTGGCCTCGGGAGGGAGCAATAGGAGCATAAAATTTTGGAACACGTGCATGGGCGCGTGTCTGAATTCAGTGGACACCAGTTCTCAAGTGTGTGCGCTGCTGTGGAGCATGAGGGAGAGGGAATTGCCAAGCTCTCACGGGGCTTACTGAGAACCAGCTCATTCTTTGGAAGTATCCATCTATGGGGAGGATGGCAGAGCTGACTGGACACACATCCAGGGTTCTGTTCCTGGCACAGGTACCACTTGTATGCTTATTATAGTCATCCACAATTCGGTGCAAATACTTTTGAAGTTTGCTTGTTGAGTTGATCATTTTGCTGATTCTCGTTGCCGCATAGTTGTCTTGCAGAGTCCGGCTGGATGCACAGTGGCATCTGCAGCAGCGGATGAAAAATTGATGTTCTGGCAAGTATTCGGGATACCAGAATTGGCTTCGCCTGTAACAGTATGAATTTTCGATCCTTTTCCCGAGATTTATGAAATGAATATTTTGACCAATACACTTATAGTGAGATCTCACCCGGAACCGCGCATTCTCGGAATGTTAACCTTAGAGGTAAGGCCAGCATGGGATTGAGTTCGCACGACCAAAGAACTCGACCTTGGTTCGACCTTCGACCATAAGGATTGTCGAGGGAATGTTTTGGGCCAACAGAGAGCGATCTATTTGATTGATCGTGTCCGAAGGGAACTAACGACATACCCTCGCAATTACATGACAATCGAGGTCGCCTAGGTTCGAGCAAACTTAAACGTGATTTGACTTAGTGTCGATCACGAGTCGAGAGCGTGTAATCCTAATGAGCCACCCGTTAGCCAGAGATAAGCTAAAGTCGCGATTGTTCGATTTTAGTCATTTCTTGGAATTCGGGCCCGGGAATCGAGAATTTTGAAAGTGACAATTTTGAGCGGCCGATGACGTTTTTGGCTTGGCCAACCTTGGGGCCACCCATTTCTGCAAAAAAAATGGATTTCGGTACGGAGCCGGAAAAATTACGATTTTGCTCCTCTGGTCACTGATGTCGATTTTGAGGCCGTATGAGATTATTTTTTTGAGGCCGATGTCATTTTAGGGTGGCCACGCATATTTGGAGTGGTTACGGTCAAAAATTGGAATTTTGGCTCGGAAGTGAAAAATAATATTATTTTATTCCCAGAACTCGGCAGTCGATTTTCGAGGGCTTAAGAAGCTATTTTCACGATTCCGACGCCATATTATGTTGGCCACACCCATTTGGGGTCGGTATAGACAAAAATTGGAATTTCGCCCCGGGACTGGAAAAATGACCATTTTGCCCCTGGGCTATTTTTTAGCTCCGAATTTTTGGGATAATTTTGGATAAATGAAGTCTGATTTTTCCAGCTCAATTATTGAGGCAAATCACCTTAATGCCCATCAATTATTGGATGAGAACGAATTAGGGCCGTCGGATTAGGGGTATTTTGGTCAAATTTCCGGATCGGTGACATGTGGCACCCTCTAAGCCCCTATATTTGACCGGTCTGACCAGCCCACTCTCTCTCCTCCCCTTCATTCGGTCCTCCTCCTCCTCTCCCGTTTTCTCCCTCCCTCTCCCTCACGATCTCTCTCCCTCTCTCGGCCAAGCACCGCCGGAGTAGGCCGCCGTTGCCGGAGCCGTTCGCCGCCGGCGACGCTGCTGCTGCTGCTGCTGGGCCGGCTGTCCCAGCTTTTGTCCAGCCCTGTTTGTCTCGCCTTTTAGGGTAAGTGTCTTCCCCAAGAACTACCTAGGACTTCGGGTATCGTAGGTCATGTTTAGGGTTCGGTTTAGGGGTTTATGTGGCTGTTTTGGGGGCTGAGATGAAGGCTGGTATTTGGTTGTCGTGGGCTGATTTGGGGACTGATTTGGCGAAGAAATTTGTGAGGATTTGGAGGCTCAACGATGGCTGTGATGTGTGGAACGATTACGGTTTGAATCCGTAAGATTTGGTGTGATTCTCGGATTCGTGATTGCTGTACGCATCCGGTTTGCCATTTTTGTGGAGAATTTTGGGGGCCGAATTTGAAGAAGTTTTCTTCATGAAAGTTGCTCCCAACATCTTGAAGTATAACATATTTTAAATTTGGAATTTTTGGAGACCATTTGGGTCGTACGAAAACCCATTTTCAGACCGTATTGAAACCGCCCGGAACACTGTTCATCCCGACCTTCTTGTCTTACCGAATTTTTATAAACTTTTCCAGATCTATTTTCAATAAACTTTCTTCACGAAAGTTGTTGGTGACTCTCTTTTCTATGACACATAAAAATTGCAGAGTTTTCCAAAGTGATTTGGGTACTGAATGAGTTGTATTTTAATGGTCTGAGGGGCTGTCCGAGTGAACCGGATTCTGTCCGGATTTGAGTGTCAAAAAGAGGTGTTTACAGTTGGAACTGAGTTTCGAGTTCTCACGGAAAATGTTTATCAAGATGTTTTATGCAATATATCGAAATTTCAGAATTTTTGGAGTCTATTTACTATTTATTTCAAATGGATTTCTGTCACTGCGCAACTGCCCAGTTTGAACCCGATTTTGTATATTCCCGGTTTTTCTCTCTCGAGAATTGTTCGGTGTTGGCGTGACGTGTGTGGGGAAAATTGACGTGTGATTGTGGCCGGCTTGAATGTCGGAATCGTGAGCTTGTGATTTGGAATTGGGATGATTGTGGGTGCATTGAATTAACGTTCGGGTATGTGTGACCGTGTGGTGTGATTGTGTGATGGTGAAATGTATGTGGGGCATGTGATTGTGTGGCGGTGTGATATGTGTGGCTGCGTGGCTCGTGTGGTACGATGTTACGAGATGATTGGAATGGTTGGAAAGGTGGTACCCTGAGGCGTGTTCATTTACGCGGGGTAGGTTCCGTCCTGAGGTGTGTACATTTATGCGGGACGATGCCGTCCCTGACGAGGTGACGATGCCCAGCCCGACGGGGTGTCGATGCCTGACGAGGTCAGAAGACCGTTGGCCTGATGCTTTATACGCGGGCGCGGTAATGAAGGAAGTGTGAGTGTAGGATTCCGTCCTGAGGCGTGTACGTTTACGCGGGACGATGCCATCCCTGACGAGGTGACGATGCCCGGCCCGACGGGATGACGATGCCTGACGAGGTCAGAAGACCGTTGGCCTGATGCGTTTTACGCGGGTGCGGTAGTGGTGGAAAAGTTGAGATTGAGTGGGAATTGGCTTGAGGTGTGAGGTTTGCGAAAGTGATGCGTGGTGTGAGTCAGTGTGCGAGTGTGTTTGTCTCGAGTGCTGTGGTGCTCGATTATGGAGTAAAATACTGCTAGACACGGTATGGGACGTGTCCAAGTAGGTTTTGCTTTATAATCGAGGCACGTGTGCGACTGTGATTTATCATTGTGGTATGTTGGCGGTGTTATTATCTGACGTGCATGAACGTGCATGATGGGTTCCAGGTAGGTGTGCATGTGTTTGTGAGTATGGTTGATCGTTGCGTGTTATGCGTGTTTCGTTTGGCGGTACGTGAGTGCCTACGTGGGGTTTGGGGTTGTACACTTATTGAGATTCGTCTCATGGTTGTGTAACCAACAATTTTAGACCCCTAGCCTTAAACCCGGGAGGTCCGCCTCCTCTTTTTGGAGTTTGGGGAACCGCCATGGTGCCCAGTGGGGCTGCAGATGATCCTCCGGGGGCTTGAGCCAGAAGACGCAGGAGCAGAAGGGAATAGGGCGACCATCAGCTTTCCCTAGGGTATTTTAGGGGTTGTGCAGAATAGATCGTCCTGTAGCGAAGCTAGGTTAACCAGACCATCCGATCCTTTTATTATAATGGTGGTCGTGGATGCACGTGTGTTAAGTATGGCTGTAAGACGATGTTTGAATGCTTGGTGCTTTGGTATTGTATAAAATGAATGGTTGTTGTTCTTTGGCTGTCCTGTAGTCGTCTTTATAGTCAGGGGTGTTATATTTCGCTTCCGCATGTGTTTCTGATGTTTGGGATTGGGTCGGCGATGTTCTTGGGACGTCGCAATAATTCGATCGGAGCAGAGGATGTCGCAAGCTTGTAGGGGTTCGGGGCGTGACATCGCTAGCACCCAAAACCTCTTCCGAGCCATTTGCCCACTGGCACCGTTGTTGAGGAAAACTCCTATTGATTTTGAAGTTGACAAAACCTTCCAATTTATTGTAAATCTGAAACTTATTCTGAACTAATTTATTCCAGGTATGGAAGCTCAGAAGGAAGTTATTCAGACTTTACAAATTGTCAAATATTTTATTGAAGACCCACATTATCCTAGTTCTGAGATTCAGACGCAGAATTAGTCAGATGCAGACGAAGAATTTATTCAGACGCAGACGCAGAAGTTCTTCAGACGCAGACGCAGAAGTTCTTCAGATGCAGATGCAGAATTCAGAACCAAACATAACAGCTAGTGACCCAGTATGAATTTCACAGAAGGAAAGTTTTGATTGTTTCAATCTAAGACAATAATTAATGGACAATCAAACACTTCGACAAGTATGCATTACAACGGACAAAGCTTTACTTATGAAAATCAAGATTCTGATTGTATGGGCGACCAGAATTAGCGGGATTCAGAATCTGTCATCTAACGGCTACTCAATCCTTATTATACAAATCTGTCTAAGTTGAAAATTGGAAGATGATCCTCTGAAAGCTGTCCAACGGCTAGTATGGAAGTAGATGAGTATTTAAGGAGATCAACGAGCAGCAGAAGAAAACAGAATCAAGAATTAACAAGTCCAAAGTCTGAGTTTACTCTGATCATTCTTTACTTGTCTTGCTGAGCCAAAACTAAGATCTTGAGGGATACCTTGTAAGGGTGATTGTGAGAGATAGAGAGTCCTATCATACACAAGAGTGCTATCACTCTAAAGTTGTAATTCCTCATTAATTACATAGTGAAATCCAGCCGGTAGGTGTCAGTATGAGGAGAGTGGACGTAGGCTTACTATAAGCCGAACCACTATAAACTTGTGTGCAGATTTTCTATCCCTTATTTCTTATTTTACATTCTGCACATCAAGAGCACCGTCTATACAATCTGTTTTGAATCTGAATTTTATTCAGACTCATCTGTGTTTTTCATTTCCGCATAAAAATATAAAAATTGTTTAAGATCACCTATTCACCCCCCTCTAAGTGATCCTTGTTAGCTACAT